TGTACACATAGGATGCAAAATATTAAATACATATATGTGACATATTTGAAATAATTTTAATAAAGACGTCATCACTGTCAACTTACGTATGTATATGTATAGTGTAGTATGTATAATTTCTGTATATATAAATATTACTGATTTCTCTAACCAGACATTAAAAGTGGTTTTAACATCGGAAATTTCGCTACACAAATGAATGTTCACTGAAATATATATAGATTAGGGTCCGGCTGCATTTTGGAAAACCATATCTAAACTAATATTTTAAGGCTATAGACGACAATGAACAAAGAATTGGCTAGCGGAAATAATATTTATAGATTTTATGCCAAGAGCAAATAGATATCTCCTAGGTCTAGTTCGAGGACCAATAGATCTATGACCTGTGAAACCTACATGCCTAGCCAGGGTGAGAATTTAGTCTCCCGAAATATTTGTTGGCCAACTCTTGGAGGTGGGGATTCACATCATATTCTAAGCGGTTGAGTTTTAATCCAGTTTTGATGGAACACTGTATAAGTGCATTGCGTAGGGCATTTATTAGTCGTGGACTCCCGACCAGACGATTCTTGCTAGTCTGCCGAAATATAAATGGACTTTTAACTGTGGCACGTCGGCGCCGTGTCACAATAGAGTCATAACGCCATCAGTCCGACAAAAGCCATAAAAATAGCGGCTTAAATGGCAAACAGCATGTCTGGCATTCCCTTGGAGCGAAGTCCTGTGTGCTACCGGAATAGTCGAAGCATCTTTCCAAAAAGAGTCTACTTCACACTTTTTGCAACATCGCTTTTTTCCTGGCTTTAATAAACGAGCAACAACAGTAGCAACAATTTTGTGCTTTTATTGTGCAAATAAAAACACGCGGAAACTACTTAATCAAGTTCCAGATGCAGACCCACATCTATACATACATATGCATATTCATACATACCTTTTTGTGTACATATATTTGTGTGTGTATATAGATACAGCAAACGATTCTAGACCTTGTCTCCGGCCTTGCGGAAGCGCCGTTTTTATATGCAACAGAAAGCAAAAACAAAGCACAGCAAACTTTGTCGACGCTTTTTCGCTGAAGGAAGTTTTCAAATTTTTAGATATCTTAGATAATGTCTACATCTTTATCACATCTGTGAATTAACTCTGTTACAAAAATATATTGACGGCATTTTTGCATATCTTTTTCCATAATCCCTTAAATTCTCTAATTTGAATAAAAATTCCCTCCACGTATGTATTTCATAGTTGCATTGCTTTTCACACGTCTAATACACCCCATTTGGTCATTAATTCAACCGCCGCAGTCGTCCAACGAATGTTTATTTCGAACTAGAGCTCAAATTTATGACAGCAATTAGTGGGCGAAATGGGCGTGGCTGGAAAAGCCCCCCAAAGAACACAAAACTCTTCAATTAATTTGTTGAGCTGCTCAGACAACAGAAAACGCGCGCATCAATCAAGACGAGGTAAAAAGTGGAAGAAGTGATGGAGAGTTAGGCTCTAGCCTTGCCTGTGGGTGTGAAAAGTCGACAAACGGCAAGAGGAGGATGAAGTGGGAGGAGGGTGGGGCTGAACAACCAGTTTAGGTCGCGTGCCACTTGGGGCGGAAGCTAGTAAATAAACGTCTTATTTTTAATTACCACACTCAAGATGAATTTTAAATGGTCAGCGAATTGGTTATGTATCTATTTAGAACCAAGATATATACGTATTTTTATTTGTATATATTTTTGTCTATTTATATGTATTGTTTGACTAGGGCACTTACCTGTATCGTTTCCGTTGCGGAATATTTCCGATTGTAGTCGACATGATGAAGGTTCGGCATGCTGGCCCGCTGCTGACTGATAATGACTATCGATAAGGATGTTTAACACGTGTCCATGTCCTTGGGGTTGCTCAAAGGCCGTGTGCAGTTAGCATTTCCTCTCGGGTAGTCTGCATCGAGATATGTCACTTTATGATACATTTGTGTTAATTTTTGTTGCCCTCGCAGCGAATGGTTTAATTTGACTGCAAAGTAGAGGCGGAGAGGAAAGTAAATATCAAAATGAATTCGAGCAAAAGTTCAAGTTGAAAAAGTGTAAATTACTTTCACTCCCCCAGTTAACTGCAAATAGCTAACCCCAGGGCTTGTTTACCCATGTCGATATTGTTAATACGCCACGTGTAACACAGCGGGCGCAAAACGAGAGAGGACAGAGCGAGAGGGTATGGGGAGTGAGTCACAGAAGGGGAAGCATTGGCACGGACGGTTGGGTTTTCCGGATTTATTGCCAAGTTTACGGTACGTGCTTTGACTAAATTTATAAGCCAAATACACACTAACAGAAAAAGCAATATCCCGAGCCAGACAAATCTGCAGAACAATGTTGCTCAGTTAATTAGAATCATTTCCATATTACCAATAACAGAATAATTCAAATTTTTCTATATATGTCACTATATTTATTGGGTATATAATATACAACATTTCAAAATTGTTTATTATATATTCTAAAGTCTTTCCTTTCAGCATCATCTATTTTAAGAGAATTTCGGTTCTATTGCCATGACCTGCAATGTGCCTTTAGGTTTCTTATATTAATGAATTTGATGCCTTTTCAGCTTATTATTTGCTTATCAAAATTTCATATAATGTAGCCAAATCTTTCTGCTAGCTGTTGCAGCTTGTGTTTATATAAAAGAAAGGCTCAGATCAACAAAAAATTGTATCTTTTATATAAACAGTCAACAGCCTTTTCCTTAAATTATTTACTACACAAATATTTCATTGACAGGTCTTAACTGCTATTGCCCATATTGTCATTTGGTCATACAACTATCTGTGCACGTACCAACTGCTAAGGCATTCATCAACATGTTTTAGACGCTTCAACTAATTAGTCAACAATTTAATTCAAGCGATGCTGCCTGCATGTCAACGAGAGAAGACAGATTAATGTAAGACCGAGTAGAGAGAAAGAAAGAGAGAGAGAGAGAGAAATTGGCCTCAAGCAACATAAAACAACGCCTACAAAGAGGGGGAGAGCCTCCTCAATGTTTACCAAGGCTAATTGACTTTTGTAGCTGTCATAAATGTTGACATACATAAAACGCAAGCCGCAGAGGCGGCTGCCAACGGCAACCAATAAAAGGCGAGCAACAGCTGCCGCAACGAGCGCAATTTAAAGCGCTTATTATATTTTCTTCGTAGACATTTTGCAAGCAAAATTATTACGAAGTTTACTACTATTCAAGAAAAAAATATTTCCCAGCCGTTCTCCAATATAATGCAGGCTCGGAAACCTAAATTGCCTGGCACTACTAAAAACTCCTCCCAATCGCATTTTATTTTGGAAACCTTGTTGAGGTCAGATTTTAGAAAAGTCTGTCTCGGATTCGTCAATTTGTTTTCTGCATTGATTACTGTACAGTTGAGCAATTGCATAGGTCGACAAACCATTCTTTCTGAATATCGATAGAGTATAATAGTATAGAGAGTATATTTTCATTATAAACAAGTAAGAAAGCTATAGTGGAGACTGCTCGACGACGAGATCCCCTGAACCCTTGGAGCAATAGCTATTTCAATAATTTTTCGCGTCTTTCAGCTGACACAAGAAACACGCACACACACACACATACCGCCAAATCAACTCAGCTCGTCGCCCTGATCAAGAATATATATACTTTGTGGGGTCTGCCACGCCTCCTTCTGCCTGTTACATACATTTCAACAAAGCCATTATACCCCGATTTCCCATTGAAAATGGGTTCAGGGTATAAAAAGTGCTCCATTGTAAATATCGAGTGTGGATAATACGCAAAGTGTGTGAATATATATGTCACTTATATGTTTATTATATACTTTACAGGGCTTTACACTTCAAAAAAAATACATCAGGTAGCGTTGAGTTAAGGGCTTTAGATGACAGTTACCCCAATATATAAATTCTATTAAACTATAGTTTAAAATTTACTTATATTCTCGCAATTGAAATTTTCCAAAATGCGTTTTATTACACTCAGTCTAGTTTTGCTGGTATAACTAGACAAAGTAAATATTATTCGTTTATCTCTAATCTTAAACCCCTCTTTAGAGCTATGTAAGTGCCGCATTCTTGCCTGGCAAACTCAAAGGAAATATCGCACAAGCTGCTCAAAATACGAAGAAACTCATACAAGAGGAAAAGGTAAAATTTTACCTTTCATTAGGCCAATTAATTGTCAGTTCAGATGTTGTGAATAAAGAGGAACTTGAGAAATGGAAAGACTTTATCATCGAATGGACTCCACAAGCGTCCACTTTAGTAGAAGATTACGCCGCTCTTCAACAGTTTAGCGCACAGAAGGAAATGTTACTGGTTGGCAAAGATGATGACTTACTCAATCAATATACCAACGGTGAATTTCAGAGACTAAGGAACAGTCATATGAATACCTGTAACAGACTGTACATTGCTTTCAAGTTTGCGGCTCGCAATATGATACGTGAATCAACGGACCCCCCAGGACATTCAAATTCTATTGTTCGATATTTCAATGCGTTTGCCAGGTCAAAACCTAATGTTCGTGAGCATCACTTTGAAAATTTGTTCAACTTGCTCACCTTAGAAGGCGTCGAGCTTGACGAATGGTTAGCCATTCAAAACATGATGTAAATATGTAGATGCGTGAAAATTACAGTGGTTCAAATTGTTTTGTGATATTTCCTATAAAACGTAAAGAACAAAAAAATCAAAGAATTAAAATAGAAATCCTCTATCTAGGGGATGTATTATTATACATTAATACGTTCAATAGTAAGTTATAGTAACTTATACATGTATCTTTGGTATTCCCCTTGAATATATACTACAAATTTAAGCCAATTTCAAGTCTATACCATCAGTAGTTCTCAAAAACACACTATATATTCAGAATTAATTTACGACAACAGGGCCACTTTAAGTACTTGACTGGAAGAGCGTAATCTATAAAATCGAAATTAAAGTTGTCACTAAGCAATGAAAATTGTTAACGTATACTATTTATTCACTGTATTTTGCTTGTTTTATTTATTTTTTTTATACATATATGCATACAAAAAATTAGTTAATTTATTAATATAGGGTTTTGTATTTTGACTTAATCCAAAGATTTTGGTTCAAAAACAACAAAATGTTTAAGTTTTCTTCTTTAGGCCTTGTTCTTCCGTCAGAAACAATTCGCTCCGCCTTTCTGAGAAGCCTCTCTGATTCTACAGATGTTGCGGGGATGCATAAATACTTAAATAGCAATGATTTTACAAGTGGGAATTCCGTCTGGGAAGCCTGAAATGAAATTTAATGTAAAAACTGAATTTTTAGGCATTGATAGCAGATGTTCACCTTCATCCATAAAAAAGGATCCATTTTTAGGGGGGCTAAGGGTGTCTCCAGATACTGCCTCTTTATATAAGATGCATCAAATTTCTCGTTTTTCGGTTTTCTAATGACCGGTTGATACAAGAAATCTAAAAGTGAGTCCTGAGTTTTTGTGTTCGATTCCAAATCCAAGTTAATTGAGGGCTCTCTATTGGTCAGATTCATCAACTCGTGTTGCAAAAATATTGCAGCTTTTTCAGCATTCGTATTTAGCTGAAACCCGTCTTTCTTGAAGCGCGGATCTAATATTGTCGCCACTCTGGTTACTGTCCGTTGCTCGTATGTAGACAAACGCTTTGTTATGGACTTCAATATAGTATTTTTCATTCTTTCTCCTACCGAAGTTTGTAACTGTGATGAAAGATTGTGAACTTTGCGGAAAAGACCATGTGCTAAAGGTATTACTAATGACACATAATTTTCACCAGATATTTTGTCGCTTGCTTCCTGAAAAAGTGACAATATTATATCTATGTCTTTTAATATAATGATTTCGTCAACAGTCAATTGCAGCGGTGCACTTTTTATTGGCAATAAAACTGCATTAATGGCTTCCTGAGATGCTAATATGCGCTCTATCATAAAGTGGAGGCTGTTCCATCTTGAATGAGATTCTTCTAATAAAATAGAGGCGAAGTTTTCTTGAACATTTTTAAATTTCTCATTCGTTATAGAACTTTGCTTAAAAAACTTCACTATCGTCTTACACTTTGCAATTAAAGCTTTCATTGCATCGTCTTCCAGTTTTAGCCCATCTTGTACCACCGAATTCAAGGTGTGAGCGAAGCATGGATGATTTTGTATCTTTAATATTTCACATGCTTCTAGCATTGAGCTGGAATTTTTTGTTACTACACATACAGTTTTATCTAGTATATTCCAAAAATTCAATATATCTTGCAAGGTGTTTGCAATATTTTGAGCAGAGTGATCTGTTGAATCTATTAATTTTTGTCTTGCTAAACATACTGTTTTCAGGCTATAATCAAGAACGAAATGACCAGTGACGCTTAAGAAGCTAACGTTAGTGCTTGAAGTCCACAGGTCGCACGTAATCGCTATATCCGCAACGTTCTCCAAAATCACGGCCAGTTTAGCCGATGTTTCTTTAAACAAGTGGAGCATCAACACATCTCTCAAATGTCTGCTACTTGGAAGATTGTATCTAGGTTCCAATACACGAGTGTATTCTATAAAGCCTTCATTTTCAACGATGGTACATGGCAGCATATCCTTGACAACCATCTCGGTTAAAGCTCTATCAATGTCCCTCTTTCGCTTTGATTTTGTGTCATATAATAAAGCTCTTTCCAAACAAGATTCCACAGAACTCATGGATCTACAGCTGCCGCTTGTAGACGCGATCTTGTCGTCGTTGTTCTCATTTTTGTCGTGGTTGTCGTCGTAGTGGTCAGCTTTGTCATCGTTGTCGTCGTTGTCGTCATTGTTGTCATCGTTGTCGTCGTTGTCGTCATGGTTGTCATTGGTGTCATTGGTGTCCTTGTTGTTATCGTTATCCACTAAAGCTTCTGCAGCGGATGCGCTGGAATCAAGTACAGATACGTTTGAGTGGAATCTTTTCAAATGGTCACGTATATTAGATGTGTTTCCGCTCGTTTTATAAAGTTTACCGCAGCACAGACACTTAGCGAAGAGTCTGTCGTCGGACCTCTTAAAATACTTCCAAACCTCTGAGATCCTTTTTTGTTTCTTTGGTGTTGGCTTTTCGACCGTAGAATTCTTATCAGAATCCGTGAAGCTGGTATCCCAAGCCCGCGTCGAATTCGGACGCTTACCTTAAAGAAAACTCAGTGTTATTAAGATACTTCTCAATTGCGTTATGATTATTACCTTTTAGAAGAAATCTATCCATTTGATTCTGTTGTGTGCATTTAAAGAGTATTAATAATGCGGAAAAAGAAATCTCCAATCAATTGCAAATCCGCTTGGCTCTCAGATACAGAAAAACGCAAGAGTGTGTCTCAGTGATGTGCAAGCCGTACTATTGGTGGCACCATCGAACTTTTTAGTAGTGCTCGAAGCTATCGATGGCGCTATCGAAAGCAAAATTTCACGCATTCGGCCAAGTGGGGGTGTCAGACTATCGATGATGTGTGCAATCGATAGTTGGCGATAGTAAACCAGAAACAATCGGTAGTTGTTGATAGTGGCAAAAAATATTTTTATTAACAAAACGTGTTTTGCATTTATATCTATTTCACTTGATCCACAATCAGTGGAAAATTTGTCTGATCAGCCTGCAAGGAAATTTAATAAAGAAATTTAATACCTGAATAAGAATAACTGGATTTTTCATTTTACCTTAAGCCGCTTGTTCTATATTCTTTTTCACATTTGAGGTACTTTTTTTTTCGGAGAAATTATTTACACATTTTTTAATGTGTTTCAGTATGCAGCTTTGAGTTCGTGATATTTTTATTGTATTTTTAGCACTGAGCTATGATTCGACTTTTGCAAAAAGTGCGCCAAAATGTATTACAGCGATGAAAAGCAAGCTATCGATGATACTATCGGCCCATTTGACTATTCGATAGTTCAATACATCGAGAGTACATTGACATCGATAGTGACATCGATGGTTTCAACCACTACGGCCGAGATAATCGAGCTGATTTCTCACTCTCCCTTTTTCTCTGTCTACTCTCTGCTTTATCAAACAGATGTTTATGTATGTGTGTATGTAGGCACAAACAGTACGATTGCACTGAACTGTGACGTCACAACATCTGCGCAACCTACTGGGTCTTTTAACAGCGCACAAGCAGCAGCTGACCAAAATTTAACTTGTTCGCTTTAAGATCCCATCTCGGGCCTTTTGCTTGAAGAGGTTTGCAAAGCTAATGCATAATGTTAGCGTTTGCACGATTATTTGGGATATGATTTCGAGACGAGTATACACTTACACTTATACTCCCTTGCTACACGTACATATGTATGAGCATTTATAGCTGGTCGATCTTGTGAAGAGCTCACACACATTTGCATACGCGTGTGTTTATAGTTTGCCTATTTGTTTTTAACATTCGTTGCTTGTTTTTGCTTGAAGTTAAAGTAACACACATACTTTTTTTGCCATACTGTTTTTGCCAGCGAGTTCTTGGCTATGTTTCAACTACTTAGATCATAAAAGGGAAACTCTTATAAAACGCTCCGTTTTTACATCATTTTTATCGCGTTGTTTAGTGTGGGGCTAAATTAATGACGCATTTCATCGGCAGCTTTAATAAATTTCAGATGAGTTGCTGCCTCCACAGCCGCAACACTAATTAAGTACAACAATAAGAGGACCAAGAGCCGGAGCCACTTCTCCTGAAAACAACAGTAACACACTTTATGCCCTGCGGGCGGGTGGCAGCGGGAGTAGTCAAGGGAGGTCTTTCTGCTCGCCATATGCTAAAGTCCTACAATTTATGAGCACTCCGTGTATGTGTGTTTGTGTGGCTGTGTGGCATCTCTTGTAAATCTCAACTGCACTGACCATAAATGAAATGGTCGAATAATTGAGTTAGTGCCGCACTTCGGGCCAATTCCAATTGACCCGCAGCGCTTAAAGTGCTGTTGGACTTATGCAAATGCATACATACGTATGCAGGAGGATATCAATCGCCATATGCCACGCACTGTGGCAGCAGACAGACGTCCCATGGCATGGCCATGCCACGCTATGTGCCATTTGCCATGCGGCAAGTGCCTAGTGGCAAGTGGCAGTCAACTTGCGGCGTCGGTGGTGGTGGCACAAAAAAGCCAACTGCAACTAAGCAGTCATAAATTATGCAGCGACATTGTCAAAGGACACCAAGAACCAGCCAAGCAGCTATCCAGCCAGCTATACTAACAACAGCAGAAAGCAACAAGGACATGCACTACATGCATTGCCAAGGCATTGCTCCCAGCTGCCTCCATACGGCTCCTACCGCTCTTCTTGCTATATTAACTCCAAATGGCTCAGCAGTTAATAGGAACAAGTGCAACGTTGGGATTGGGGCATATGCAACATGGTAGTCGTTGCAGCAGTTGCAAATTATGACAAACGCAACAGACTACGAAACTTGCAGCTACAATGGCAAATGCATAGGCGAAAACCATGCAAAGCATTTCAAATAAAACTTTATTAGAAAGGAATTTCTGCCTATGATGATGACATCGTGCTTAAGAATTACTACTGCTAATTAAATTTATATCGGGAGGAGCCAGACGGCACTAAGAGGAAGAGCGTTGATCTACGAACTTTCTTTTTATAATTTTTGGCATTCGAGATAATAGTTTTAAAACTTATTAGCAGATCGGCTATATCAGAGCTTCAATTCTAGAAATGATTGGGAAACTGTACCATTTTGCAAAACAAAAAATCAACATTTTAGATTCCAGCCCTAAAAAAATTGTAATAATAGTAACAATACGATATTTAACAATAACTATCGATTATTTTAGACAATCTTATTCTGTGTGTGCTGTGGAGAGTCTCACAACCCTCATCTCGAGCTCCTATACATATGTTGATCCATATGAGCAGACGTTCAGCAACGCTAAATATACATCGCATTTATAGTAAAGTTGATATATTCATAATACCTCGATTTGTCCTTTTCAAGGGGTGTGGATATTTCAAATGTAAGCAAATCATGTTTACAATAATTTTCCTTTATATGATAATATTTATATATATGGATATTAATAATTGGTAAGGCATTCAAATTTATAAACCTATAATCCACTATCAAGGGATTGATGCCAATTGCATTACTTTAAACGATTCGAAGCTAATCCGCTTATATTTCACATGGCATATTCGTTGAATCTAATCGGATTACATCAAGCAATTTAAATTAAAGACTCTTGATTGCTTTAAAGTGCTCACACACACACACACATATGTATATATACATATATTTATATACAAATATTTTGTATCTGACAGTTGAAAGGTCCAATTCGAATAACTTTTGTGGCCCATTGTACTTGTAAGCCCTTTAACTGATTATAGTAAAATGTTTCTATTCCATTTCTTGGCAGCAAAAACTTTGCCTAGAGACGCAAGCCCGGGAAAAACTATGCAACAGACTTTCATACCAAAAAGTTTTGTTGAAGTAGAAAACACAACAGGTTAAGGGCGAAACCAGCTGCCGACTCGAAGCTAATTGCAACTACAGTAACGACAACAATAACTTTAAACAGCTCCATAGTTATGACAATTTAGAGACTGAAGCTGAGTCTCAGCTTCCAGGACATCGTTCGGGGACATTAACTTGGCTCATTGTTCATGAGGACAACAGATGGAAAACTTAATGAAGTTTACTTTTACTATGCAGCAATTTAATTAGTTCAAATGAAGTTTCCCGTCTCGACAGCAACAGCAACTGGCGAAAAATGAAAACATTTGACAAAGTTCAAAACATTTGTTAGCCAAAAAGTTTTTGCCAAATTCTAGCAGAGAGAAAATAAGTCAGAAATCAATATACATATAAGACACAGGTAAACCACATTTCGAAAGAGAAACCACCTAGACAAAAAAGTATATATAAAAAAAAAAAAAAGAAAAAATGAAAAAGAAATGGAAAACAACCAACACAACTGTAACCGAAACATAAACAACAAACAAAAAGCGAAAGGCGAGCGGAACAACAATAAAAATTTATTGTTATCCTCAAAAACAAGCGAAACAATCAGCAATAAAAACAGAATAACAGAGAGGTTTTCCAATTGCCGAATACTTAATACTCTTGAAATGAAATATATTTTATTTGATATACAGATATGTATATAATAATTGATTTAATTGATTCACGAGGTGGAGAATGAAAACGTAATTATAATCAATTATATTACATGGTTGAATACAATGATTAGACTGGCTGGCAGTGTGATTGACTTACTTAAAGTGAGTTGCTTCATTTGATCGGCTGATTGACTTACTTCCTTAAAAATTGATTGACTGACTCAATAACTGAATGGGTTTTGCTCAGGCTATGGAAATATCAATTGAATGAAAAGCAAGAGTGATTTCCCCAACTAACTGACTGATGGATCCGGATTGACTAACAGAGTAACTGATTGACTGACAACTATTAGGTTTCTTGGTCGATCGAGATACAGAAAGATTGAATAATTAAAGACTGGATAAGTAACTTACTAATTGACTTGCACTGATTGAATGATTGAGCCACCTCGGCATGAGTGATCCAGATTGAATAACCGAATAGCTCATCTAATTACTCAATAAATCTTTGACTATATTCTTGATTAACCTATTCCAGGCTTGATTTGTTGTTTAAGTAACCTAACCTTCCAATGTTCAAGTTTCAAGTTTCAATATTATATCTGATACCGTGTATATATTGTTAAAGAATTTTAATTTATTTATACATTGTATCTTTCCTATGGCTCCAAGAAAGTGGAAAAGCTGATGTACTCCATGTTTATAAAAGCATAAAAACAGCTGGCAAAAAAAAAATGTAAGAAAAATCAGCAGATATCAGCAGCGGCTGCAGCAGCAGCTATAACGGTGTATGTTAAGTAATTTAGGCCTCGAATACTTTGAGGCCGCAACATGCGTGCAAATACTTCTTGAACGGCGCTCGGGCCAAAGCCTCGTCAGGACTTAGCGCGGCTGTTAGGTGTATTAAGAGGCTGATGGGGAGAGAGGGGCGCAAGTGGCGCAAGGCCGTGTTTAAACCTGGCCGAAATCAAACCCTGCCATCTGCGACTTTCAATTGGAGTTGGCGAAATACAGCCAAGAGAGCACAGAACACCCCAAAAAGAACAAAAATGCGATTCGAGCAACTCGAAAGGAAAACACTTGAAAATTGAAGTGGAAGCGATACAAGAGCTGGCCATGTTACCCACTTGTTTACGCTTGTAGTTTTTTGATTGAATTTTTGGCTACGTTGATTCAGAGGGGAAGGGAACGACAGGGCGCCAGCTTTAGAAGCAACAATTTTCCACACACATACACAGTGGGAAATTATGGGCACGTTGCAGACAGTGCTGCAGC